GGGAGAGACTGAGTCTTGAAATTGCTGTGCCACCATTAGGTGCAGGCAGATGGGTTTCAGCACTGTGCCCTCTGAGAGAACAGCGCTTGAATGGACAGACTACCCTGGACCTGTGAACTCCTCAGATGTTTGATGCTCTGGTCTGCTTCCATGTGTTTTCATTCTCAGTCTATCTGTACCCAAATTCCACTCACAAAGAGGCTCATTTTATTAGGAAAAACATACTTCAGAACTATCAAGCTGGGATAAGAACTCACACTTACCTGGGAAGGATCAACAGGTACATGAACAAGGAATGACTGTCCACTTCAGAGCTGGGGCAACATGGACCGCCATGGGGAGGAATAGCCTCCAAAGTTAAACAACAATTTAAAAATCAGGACGTGCCTCTGACTTACCTGGACTGTGGAAACACATGTACAACAGTGTATATGCAGTGTATAAGCAGCCAGTGATACAATTCTGGCTGACACAGAGGTTACCTGACAATGTCCTTAACCTTATGTTGACATGCAGATCTCTTGAGAGGAGAGTTGTGGTAGGCAGCGAAGGCTCAGAAGTGTTTCTGCTTTAATGTGTCATTCCTCTAAAACACCCCAAACTTACCAAAATTCTCTCCTCCCCAGATGTCCATCTGAGTATCATATTTTCCCAGGTGGTTAAACCAAGACTTGTCAATCACAAAGATGCCTCCTGCTATGACAGGGGTTCTGGAAAAGAAAACTAAATAACCACATGTACCTGTGCAAATGCAGCACCGTCTTCATGACCACCTCCATTTTAGAGAGGGGGTAACTTGTCCAAGACCGACAAATCATATCTCATGAACTTGCAGCAGGATTCCATGGTCTTCCTCACTAAATCGTCCTCCTTCCTTTGTTAGATGGTGCTGCAAACACTACACGAGTAAAACTGTCTTCTGCATTTACGCAAATGTGCCCCATGTAAAGCGATAATAGCAGCACTGTCCGATGACTGTGCTTACCAACTAAACACCGTGCAAGAGACCTTGCTGGCTACATTTACTGCTCTGCTGTTGGCAAGCTGGTTGGTTCTGGAGGGGCTCAAAAATTATGTAGAGGAATTGAATGAAACTCTTTGTTTATGTTACAAATAGAAAACTGTCTGTCTATGCAGACACTCACCATGCCATTTTATATCCGAATTTATCACATTCTGTATTTCTCAGAGCTGGTGTACATAGCAGTGAGGCAGGCAATAACTGTTTGAGCGACCAGAGTAAATTTTGTATGTAGACATACATGCTTAGGAGAGGAGCATAATTCTGTGCCCAAATTACTGGACAAGATTCATTTCCCAAGTCTGCTTTGCACTTACTGGGTGACTTAGTGCAAACCGTTTAGCCTCTCCATTCTTTATTTTTTCTTGTGGAAGACAGCAGTAATTCAATTTCCTCACCCTTAAAGGGATTTCTGAGGTATTCAGGGTGTTGAGTGAGGGAGACCACAAAAATGAACATATAGAACAAGAAGTGGCTTGTAGAGGTTGCATATCTAGAAGCCTACCATAGCATATAGCTATTTCTTACAATATTCAGGGAGTAATACCCTCAGAAGACACAGATCTCAATGCATTGCAAGATTTCTTCACAAATAATATGAAGAATGTCATCATCGAGGGAACACTGTGGCATTTTGTCCTCAGCAAGACAATCCCTGTATAGTCCTTGCCATACAGGTGAGAACTTAGTAAGGGCATTTGGAGGGCTGCACACAGTTTATCAGAGACAACTACCTTATAGACTGAGTTGGGTCTGTTCTGGACATCTTCTGCTCTATAGGAATCTGCTCCCACTTAAAGTGAAGGCTCCAGTCAAATCCTGAGGAGGAAAGAAACAGCTCAGACATGTTTTGTTCTTGTTTTTCTGCTAGCTTTGGTGATAGTCCCCACCTTTGTATCACAGGCTATCCCTAGGCTATCCCTTTCCTTTCCTGACCTCCCTCCTTGCCTACTCAGAACCTGGCAGGAGTCTATCCTAATGCAGCCAAGAGGCTGCTAATCTTCTCTCTTGGCATCCTCATCCCTTAGTGGTACAGGTCTCTGCTCCGTTACATTCCACATCTTCAGGAGGGGGCTGTCAGTGCGAGATGTAATAATTAGCACTGCTGCGTTTTGGTCAGTCGATCTTATACTTCATAGTCTGCCAAAGTTATGAGGCTTTAATCAACACACTCTGTAGAATGCAATGTATTCTGGGAAAAAAGGATTGTAGTTCATGGTAACCATTCCCCCTCCAAGCCTATCGCTTATTTATAGTTGGCCTATGGTGGTGACTTGAGCACAAGACAATCACTAGGGTTATACCACTGTGAAAGGTAGTTATAGAGGTCAAGGAGCATAGCAGTGAATCCCAGACGTCTGCGTTTTCTCTTGCCACAGAGGAGGGGGAACAGCACTAGGCACTGTGTGAGAGCATAGGAACAGCCACAGTAGAGTTCAGCTGCCAGCAGAGAGGTGAAAAAGCTTTTCCAAAGATACCATGAGAGGGTCTGGTAGACAGGAGTAGCAATTGGAAGCGCCTGCTGGGCATCGATATACCTGCAGTGTAGGGAGTGGTTGCAAACCATACTCACACTTGGCAGGAGGTTTACTTCTGGGCTCTCAGAGGAAAATGATCCTCGTTTGGGGAAGCTAATGGATAATTATGCTGTTTGGAGGCACAGATTTTGCTGATGAGTCCTAGGCAGTGGGTAGGTACTACCTGAATTACTATTAGGAGATGAATCACTATCAGGGATGCCAATGGGGTATGCTCTGGCTTACGTGGCATGAATGTGTGTGAAGGTCCAGGTGCCCTCTGAATGCTCATCGGTAGTGGCAGGTATGCACAGGAGATCTCCCAGGGAATGTTTTTAAAAATTCTAAGGGGCCATGCTCAGGCACTGCCCCAAAATATGCAGTCCATGTGAAGTTGCAGAACCAAATTTGAAGACTGCTGTGACCCTTTAACACCACATGGATGAGACAGAGAGCCTGGACATGCTATGCGACCATAACGAGTTTCACCTCCTCTACTGTAGAGAGTCTTTCCAAAGGAGCAAACAGCATCATATAGAAACACCAGGTGATGCTGGAAGGACCAGACAGAGCGCAGGAAGAGTGAAGAGTTTCTAGAGGTGGCCCTTCCCCATCCTCCTTTCTTATCACCTTCCTTCCCTTGCTGGAAACTGTAAAGAGAGGTCTCTTTGGGTTATGAGTAAGAAAACTGAGAGCACTGAAGGGGTACTTTTCAGGTCTGGCAGCTTGGCATGAGAGCTGAAGCCCAGAAATCCTGCTATTCACCTTCAGTTAGGAGGTGTGAAGTGGCAAGAGGACATGGTGATATGTTTATTCAGTTAAATAAGCTCTGGATTTGCAAAGCCCCATGACACTGATGCAAGCTCAAGTGCAACTCCATGTAGTTTGGTTTTGTTGTAACTCTGTGAAAGATCTGACCTTGCAAATTGCAGGAGAAAGAGGACAGAGAACCCATCAGGAAAGAGCATCACTCTGCTTTCTTGAAAAGCTGAAGAGAACAACAATTATTTTTCATGCACCATCCCTCTCGTCTAACTCATACAAGTCATTCATTGTACCCACCTCCCCTCAGATCTGCTGATGCTGCCAGGTAGGCAAAATTATCCAGGCTGATAACATCAATGATTGGACTCACCACTCTGGTATAATCCTAAAGGAGAGAGAGAAAAGGGGAAAAAAGTAATCAGGCTTTTCTTGGGGGACTGGCAAAGCTGCCTGAGATCAGAGAACACGAAGCTGGACGCAACCTGTAAATTTTTGCCTGGCTTCTCCAGTACGGGTCTGAGATGTGGGCAAGAGATCCATGGCCACTATATCCAAACATGGAGATAGTGGCTATTAAACAAACTGCGCACTAAGGACACAGAGAATGAAGCCTGAGGCCCTGACACCCAGAAATGCTGCTAAGAGACAGCTCTATTTCCTGCCCAAGTCATAGGACATGAATCACTTCCAAAGGTTTTGTGCTTGTTTTTGCTGTTTGCTGACAGCATAGTTACTGCGCAGCCTGTCTTAATTAAGTCATTGTCATCGGCCCAGAAACAATCAACCCACTAATAAATCATCTCATAACAAGTTCTATCAATTGAAACCCTTACTTCAAAAAAAATAGGACAAACTGTAAAAGATATCAAGGTATCGGGAATACTCTACTTGCACAAAGGGGAATATATATTTACAGTTTTCTTTGCAATCGTTTTACTAAGTGCAAGTTGAGATTGTAACAATTTTTCAATGTCAAGAGACAGGGCACTAGAGAGAGTCTTGTCATAACAGAAGTCTAAGATAAAACTGAGAGAGCTGCCAATGCTGGAAACAGCATCCTGTTATTAGACACCTGCCAGCCTCCACTGCTGTGGCCCCTCCATGCCTTTCCTACCGAACCTCCATTTTGCGCTTTGCAATAGCTCTTCCTGCTGTGACCTCTTTGGCCAGGATGGCACGTCCTAGGCTAGAGCTTGTTGTTCATGTATATTCCCACTGGCTGGGTGCTGTGGATGGCTACACAGAGGGAGCACGTCTGCACAGCCTGTGCTCTGTCAGCACTCACCTTGGAGCCTGGTGGCAACTGCTCCAACCCTCTAGTGATAGGACTGCTTAGGATAAGACTGAAATTTGAACCAGGACCCACATTGGAAATGTGGGAGGTAGGTCTGCAATAGACTCACCTGAAATCTGCTCACTAAATACAGCTGGAGTCAGCAGCCTAGCTTTTGCAGCTCAGATACTTCACTGAAAAAAAGTCAGGTTCTTTCTGCTTAGCAGTCTTATGCTGCTGCCAGCAGCTTGACATTAAGAGCAGGAGTATGGTAAACATTTATGGTCATCCCTGGTGAGCAGACATGAATACTAGCATCAGAGCCTCCAACCCTTCTCCTGGGCCCCCTTACTCCATGGGATCCTCGCTTGTGTGTTGGCAACTTGGTGGGACCATTAAAGGAAGGAAGATTTAGCAGTGGCAAGGCAGAAGGAAGATGGAAACCATGTAAAGTTGCACAGGGTGTGTTGAGAAGGTGTCTACACTATGTACAGGGATATGTACATATATGTACATGTGTACATATGTACATATGCACATATACCGCATAGGAGTGCAGCACCTCCAGGAGAGCAGAAGTAGGAGTCATAGTTTAAGGACTATGCCTTGCGCCCCGTCCTTCAACACCTCCTGCCCCACCAACAGGAGAATGCAGAAGCCTGTCAGGAAGCATCTCATGCATTTTCCTCTGTGACAGCCTGTCTGAGGAGGAGAGCACTGGGGAAGGCTCTGTCCTCACCCACACTGCTCACGGCATGCAAGGGCAGAGGATCCACCAGCACAAGACAGGCCAGCCCTGTACATCCCGTGGAGGGGGACAGTGGTCACCTCTTTCACTCTCTGAAGCATCGGCTGCAGCCACTCGCTGTTGACTTCACAGTGACTATCCAAGAAGGTGAGGATGTCAGCGGTGGCCATGTCAGCTCCTCGCACACGAGAGCGAATCAGCCCTAGGATGAAGAAGGGACAGCAGAGGAATAGGAAGGTTAGTAAGGTAAACAGCTGAGCCTAATTCATAAAACAAAACACTCTGTGGCCACTACACAAGAAGAGCAAGTAGCTCTTCTACCTTACATCTCTGTCAGAAGCGGAGACCATCTAGAGCAGGGCAGCTCCTCTGGAGGACACACAGCAAGCTGAACCCTCTCAGGCCACAAGGAACGGCCTCAGGTATTTCACTTTCTTCCATGCCATTGAACTTTCATCTGGTTCCTGTCTTCATGACAGACCCCTTCCCCTCCAGCTTTCCCGACAAGTACATTGCTGCTGCCTTGGCTGTGTCTGCTTAGTGTCCTTCTCATCACAATACTGCTGGCTCTCTCAGAACTTCTCCTGAACCAAGCACCACTCTCTGCTTGCTGCCTTTCTAACTACTTTATCTACGTTTGTCCTTTATTCCGCCCTTTGATCAGAGAGGTTAACTTGGCCCCCAGATGTCTCTGTACTTTCTTACAGACCATTCCACTGACTGAGATGACTTTCCCAAACTGAGCAGTCACTACTGTCTCCCCCTCCAGATCCTCACTCCACGCCTCTTGTGCCCCAACAGCTTTAGAAATATGCCAGCACGTGCGAGTCAGATTAAAAAGCAGCTGAGGAAAGTCAGTGTTATCATATATGCATATAGGAGACATATGAGAAATAACTTTCCTTAACTGTAGCATTTATGATAGGTATATGGTTGTTTTTCCCTTTCCCACATCTACTAGATGGCTTGTTACTTTATACTGTGAGTTTAACAAAACAGGACTCACATCTGCATTTATACTGTTAAAGATCTTAACAAAATGCAGTTCCTTTTCTAGCTAGGGCATCTGGACATCACTTCTCATTATTTAAAGTATTAATGAGAGCACTGAAGCCTGAGAGTTGTTAAGCCAGGTTCTCCCTCCACAGAACCTCCAAACTAGGAGACCAAACCCTTGTACTGAAAGTACAAGCTGTAACCACAAGAAACAACATGAAGGGAACTGGCAGGCAGACAGGGCCATGTGGAAAAATCAGCAAAATCTTTGTATCTACAAAAGTTTTCCATACTCACCTTCTCGCCGAGTGTTGCGCAGACACTTGACTTTTGGGATCTTGGTAAGGAGCTGGCAGTCCTCAGCTTAGATAAAGCAAAAAACATTCGGCACAAATGCATGAATGAGTTGGCTTCAACCGAGAGCTCCAATTAACCGTTCTCCTGCATATCCATGGGAGGGGAAATTCTGCTTTCACTTAATATCACATTAATCAGCCTGAGGGCCTTAATCCTGTTGTCAGAGGAGCGCACAGAAGAGCGCTGCTTGCTTAACTATCCTCCTTGGAGAGCTGAGCCTGTGTTTCCTGATGCTCAGGGGGGCTGGGCCTTTGCCCTTCTGTGCTCAACCTTTCACAAGAGCAACAGGGCAGGAGCTGGCCACGTGGCACAGAGTGCTGATGAAACGGAGGGACTATAGGGAGCCAGGGCTTTAAATCATCAAAGCACCAAGTAAAAGAGAGTCCTGCCGTATTAAGTGATTTCATCCATTCTCTTTGCCCTCAGCACCTCAGCTGGGCATTTCCCCTCATTTGCTCTCAGGCCAATTTCTGCTCCTTGATTTTATTTAATATAAGCAACAGGGATTTGACCCACTTCCTCAGGGACACCATTACATTAATGCCTAACTGAGGTCTTTGTTGGCAGCTTGCCAGAAGCCTGTGGCATCCCTCATTTACATTACCCAGGGAACATGATGGAGAGCAACAGTTACCAGGTCCAGCCCAGCGGCACCAACGAGCACCAGCTCACACAGCTTTGTGAGGCTGCGCACTCACATGTGGTGTGCCTACAAAATGAACTTTCTCTGTTCCACCAGGCCCTCCCCTTCCCTATGTTTATCCCACCTTCGTTTTCCTGTCTCACCCCCTTTCCTGTTGTTATATCCCCCCACAGACTCAGTGCCCTGGAGAGAGTGCAAAGGCCATCAGTCAAAGTGGACCTCTCGGCATGCTTCTGCAGGAGCATTTCCATTTTCAAGGATGCATGCAATCTGAAATATTGCTCTCGTGTGGATGCTTTCGTAGCTACTGCACCATCCAAATGAAGTGGCAGGTGCTCTCGATTGCAGGTGCTCGTCTAGTTGTGACACACAACTAGATTTGGATCTAGTGCATATCACGGGAAAAGCAGGAAGTCTTCTGCCCTAATACCTCACCACTACAGCACAACATCCAGGAGCAAGAGTAACTGTAAGGACAAAGGTGGGACCACAGCCTGCAGTCTGTGGGTCTGGCAGGACTCATGCACAGGATACTCCTTCTCATGCCAGGCTGCAGGAGAAGGTATGGTGCTATCTGAAGCAACAACCCCTATATAGCCTCCCTCAAGGATGCCCAGGATCCGTGACAGCCTGAGACAGGCAGACAGCCCCAGCCCTGGCCTGCTTGCAGGACACTAGGCAGCAGTTTTCGGTGGGCTCCATCACATCCTCTCTGTCTGTAACTACGCACTGCCACTCACGTACACCACATCTGTGTACATATCTGCATTAAACAGATCATGAAATAGTGTTTAACAAGACGAGGTGGAGCTCTCTGGCAACGAGGCCAAAAGCACCAAGCTGACAGAAAGGGAAGAGCCAATGCGGGGGGGAAAGAGGAGAAAGTGCTGGCCTCTGCCATGTGCAGAAGCTAAACTGGACCCAGAAAAACCTCTTTCCTTTTCCTTTCTCTTGCACACAGACAAGAGTATCTGTGAGGGAGGGGGACTGAAGAGAGCAAACAAAGGGGGAAAAGAGAAGGGAAGAAACAAGTGCAAGAGTAACAGGTCCACACTTACGATCTGAGCTGAAGTCGTCTACCAAAATGATCTCCTGGATGAGACTGGGAGGGGTGCGGTTCAGGACGCTGCAGTGACCCAGGGAGGAAAAAGACAACCTTCGTGAGTTGCCGCGGTAACAACAGCCGGACTGACACGAATACTGAGCTCCACTAACGTGGCAGAGCCCATACCGGGGTCCATTAGGATCCTAACGAACGGACAGGCAGGAACACCAGCTCCCTGGGCATCCAAGAGAGCACCCACAGAGAGCTAGGATGTTTGAGCCTAACTGCACAGGTACCCACAGCCAGAGAGCTGGCTGAAGGACTTGGCGGGGAGCAGCTAGAAAAGCAGGCTGGTGCATGCTGTCTGCCTCAAAACAGAGAGGCAAAGCAGAGAGCACCGCCAGCCCCGAGGCGGCTGGGAGGCCATTCCTGCCTGCCAGACTCAGGCAAAGCTTCTCACCGCCAGGGAGTGCAAGGAGAGTTATCACTTTCCCCAGCAAGAAGCCTCTCATGCAGGGCTCAATGCCACACATGACACCTACAGGAGCTATCCCCACATTTCCCTTCTTTGGGAGAACTTGGCACTTTTCTGGATTTGTTTTTTCCCTCTTTTGCCTATTTGTTCTTCTTTTAACCTGGCCATTACGCTTTTTGAGAGTGCAGACCTTTTCTTGGGATAGGTCCCACTGTACATTGCAATATCCTCAGGACTGCAATGCGTTTGTGTCCGGAGGAGAGAGGCTTTCACATACAAGGAGGAGGGAATAAAAGCTTCCGTGCCCCACAGACATCAGTGCACTCTGGAGCCCAGGAGTCAGAGTGGCGTCATTAAGAAACCCACTGTTCTTCTACAGCTTTTCTTGCAAATCATTCCCTGCAGACCTGTAAACCTTTGCCTGCTGTTCTTTACTCACTTGTCAACATTTTTCTATTGCGGGGTCCAAAACACTGACCTCTTTGTCCCTCCCGTTTGTTCAAAACGCTGGAAATATTCTTCCATGACCTTTTTCAAGTCCCTTCTCTGGAGGCACAGCTTATTCTCCCTTCAAGCCTCCTTCTGCACGGTGCCGCTATACACAGACCGGGTCCTCATTGCCTTCAACAAGATTATTCATGTGCTAAAAATCAGAGTCATGCTTAAACACCTTAATGAAGAGGGTAGTTATGAAAACTTTAATATTATCAAAACCAGAGGCACTGTCCTCCTGGTTCTAGCAATCTGCCTCATTCCATTGGCACCTGCTCTTCTGATTTGGAGCAATTTGGAGAAAGATTGCTGGCTACTTTTTTTCTTTCCTTTTTTTTTCTGCTTTGTTTTATACAGGAAATAGACAACAAGAGTAATCCAACGCTCCCAAGGATGGCCCTCTAAAGCCATAGAGAAATAAATTACTGTCTTGCTAAGCAGGATCAGTGATGGCTTTGCATACTGAGCCAAAGTTCCCTTAGTCTGGGAGGGTTTTCAGCACTTTGAGGAATCCTGACTGCTCTGCTGCTCAGTATCACATCCCCTTCTATTTCAGATTTATGTTGCTTCATACCTCCCTGTGAGTATTCGTGTTTTGAGCTTATTTGTCAATGGATAACTGAGCTTCCATTTTTCAAAGCTGAATCTCACTTGTTTTTCTTGGCTTCTATCCCTCTGGATCCTTTAGCACCAAGGGGTATGTGTGTGGGGAGCGTTCCTCTTTGCATTGGTAACTGCAACTTCTCCCAGCGTAACCGTCTGAATATTTCAGACAAGGTTGCCCCATGCAGAAATTCTTGTCTGTGCAAACTCAATGCAGAGCACAAGCAATCCAGACAGGCTACATTCTCCACCCACAGCAGTATAACGACTGTGAAACAGCATACTACATCTTCCCCTGCTACCCTATTAGCAATGCTTACAGACATTTTCTCCGTAAGTTTCAGATCTTCCAACTGTATATAACTGGAAAAAAAATGGAACCGCTTTGTTTCTTCTTCCACAACTCTCCACTGACTTCCCAGCAGAGAGGAAACTTTCCTCAAGAAGTTCACAGCTCATTGTTAAATGCCCAGCTCTGCTCCCAGGTCTGCAATAATTTGTTGTGAAACCTTGGGCAAGGTACCTAATCTTCTTTTCACTTTGTTTTCCCTGCCTTTTTAATTAGGAACACAGTAATTCTAGTATTCCTCTTCCATGAGGGGCAGAGACTGGCATGACACTTTTACTCTTAGGCACAAAATGTATTATTAAGACTCCAAATCCAAATGACAATTGCCTTATACAGCAGAAAAACAGACTCACATCAGTTTGTTTCCCTTATCTCAGGGATTCCTTGCCTCCTTTGTCTGTTCTTACAGTTTCCTCCTCCTTTCAGTATCGGAGTCCTTTCTCTGGCCCATCACACCACATCAGCATTGCCAACAAGTTTCTCTCCTCTGCTGATCTGTCCATCTCTCATCAGCTCACAGATGCCCCCGCTTATTCCAGGTGTTAGCAGTGGAGTATCTCTTTTCTTATTTGCTCTGAAATTGTCTCCTTTTTTGCCACTACTTAAATTGTCAAAGCCATTCTGTTAAGTTTTGCAATGAATTGCTGCACCAAACACTCTAGCGTTGTAATGTTATCTTTCCTAGCAAAACTTATAGAGGTTCTCTGCATAGGCGCTGAGCCACTGACAGGTGTTTGACTCTGTTGGCTTAAAATCTAACCATTCACCCTTATACTTTCACCCAGAGACAAACAGTATCCATAATACTGACTGAAATCAGAGATAAAGAGAAAGAAAGGGACCAGAGAGTAAAGCAGCTGGTTTTCCCTTATTCAAGAATGGTCACCACAGCAGAAGTGATGGTATCACTTAATGATTAATTGGGCAGATATAGCAATCAAACAACCGTCACTCAAAAGCCATTTTCTCTCTGAGGTGTACGGGATGCCAAGCAAGTAACTGGTTTGAGAGTGACAGCTATGTTCTGCAGAGGAAGTGACATCAAGTAGACAAGCAGCTCTTGACTGACAGACATCATCTGCAGAACAGAAGATGCCAGCAACGAGCCATTTGAAATGGCATGGTTACTGGTGGATAGCCTATTTCACATTTTTCCCCCACTCCCCTCATTTGTCTCTTGCTGGATCTTTTTAACCAGTTGTCTTCCTTTACACTGAAAATAAACCAGTAAAGTTTATCTGAAGGACTCCCTGTATGAGACCGGCAGCGTTTGAGGCAGCATGGCCCATTCGTGCACCAGCCTGGTCCCTACAGGGGCTCACACCCTGGTCTGCTCAGTGCAACAGGTCCAGTTACCCGCTGCCTCGTCCTTCAGCAGAGGAAAGTAGCTGGAGCCCACAGAGGGGGGCAGCCTGCCCCTGCTGCCTCCAGGGACCAAGAGGGATGACTGAGGGCTACTGGAGAGAAGTTATTCCTCCTCACAGTCACTCCCCTTCCCCCCATACCCAAATGCTTCTCCCACTCCCAAGTGGCAATAAAAGCACATCACTCCCATTTCTTCCACCCAGCCGCAGCAGCAGAGTTCCCAGGGCAGAAGGAAAAGTTCAGCAGCTGCTGCCAGGGGTGAAAGTGCATGTGTGCACATACACACTTGGTTAGCAGGAAGTCTTCACATCAGAATCTGGGCCCTACAGCTGCCAAGATTAGACCACCATGAAATAAACCATAATGCAGGATTCTCATGCCTGGGTCTCTTCAAGACCTTTCCCTGCCAGCATTGCCATTCATTGGGGTTGCCCTGCGGAGTCATCCAAACATGGGGAGACAGTATCTAGCTGCCGGGAGCAAAGTTAGACTCCTTCTTGTTTTACTTGAAACCTCAGTTCAACCACAGCCCCTTCTTCAGGTATTTCTTCCTAGACTTTCCTACAGTTTTACAGCTGATTTTGGAGTGCCCAAATTCAGGCACTTACCAGTCAGGCTTGCAAAGGTCTCAAGCATCAAATCTTCAACTGGCAGCACATATTCTACTCACCTCTGAAGACTGTGTCTTTGAGAAAATTGTTAGCCATAGCAAATTTTGCCCTCACTGCTGCTCATTTTTATCAATTGTCCTCTTTTACCTCCACTGCTTCTTATCGCATACCCATAGTATAATTATGATCACTAAATTTGGGAAAAAGGCCCAGAGTAACAGTGGCATCATATTTAACTTTCACCAAGTGTGTCTCAAACGGTTAATTCAAATTATCTAAATTATCCTGCTTTACCTAGCTTAAGAAGGCTGTTATGGATGTAGAAATAATAACAGCCTAGAAGCCTGACTAGTCAGCAGGGTAGCAGGTAGTGCAATTTTATGCCTCCTGTTGTTTAATGTCACTGTGGTCCTCTGTGGACTCACAACCAGGCCATAAACTGAGTAGAACAGAACAGTCCTGTCCCTTTCATACTTGTCATATCCCAAAGTGCTGTAAAATAATTGGTTGTAAAATAAATGGTCGGTACACTGACTGTGTAGGCGAATTCAGGAACAATTATACTCACAGCAATAACTCAGCCTGGCACATTCAAATGTGTTTTGCTGAAAGGTAGGACTCAGAGGTTAGAGAAGATGCCTTGAAGAACACCCTGAAATCTTCAACTCTCTTCATAATGGTACTGTCAACCTGCAGGCAAGGCTCAGCCCTGTGCCTCTTCTAACAGGAGAGCCACGACCTGAGTCTTCACTTTTGTGTACGGGTGTCAAATCTCCTGTGCCTCAAAAGACAAGGCTACCAGCCAACGCTTTGTTGTGTGACACTACAAATACTACTAGAAGCCAAGAAGAATTCAGCCTTTGTGACCCCTAATCAGACAGCAATAAATAGGGGAAAGTCTTTGTGAAATTTGATGTAAGCAAGGAGTACATCAGGTGCACTGGCTGCAAACTATCTGGCAATAGAGATTCCAGTGGTAGCCAGAGGCTGTGGAGGAAATGCCAACCAGCCTGGGTCCTCACAAGTGCATTCCTTCAAAGGCAGCAGCATCGAAGGAAACAGCTTGAACAGATGGGCCGTCCCCCTTTCAAGGTCTCTATTGAGAGATGTGGGTTGCAGAAAACCTCAGAGACCAGCTGAGATCACATCTGAGATTGGTGAGGCCACATCTGGAGTACCGTGTCCAGTTTTGGGCTCCCAGTACAAGAAATACATGTACATATTGGATCAGGTTCAGCAAAGGACCAATAAGATGTTTGAGGGATTGAAGCATCTGACCTAAGAAGAGGGGTTGAGAGGAGTGGGACCCTGGAGAAGAGAAGCCTGGAGAAGAGAAGGCTCAGATAGGTTGTGGAATTTTCATCCTTGGATTCAAAATCCAACTGGATACAGCCCTGATCAATCTGTTCTAGGTGGCCCTGCTTGAGCTGGGGGTTGCACTAGATGATCTCCAGAGGTCCCTTCCAACCTCAACCATTCTGTGTGATTCTGAGAAGGCAGTGTTTGTTTAGATCCCAAACATGCCAGCAAGCCTGGCCTGTTAATGCGTTGGCAACCCTCATCTGCTAATTAATATGCATCACCTCCATAGGATCCGACTATTAGTTTTTCCCTCTATAGGTTACTGCTGCTCCAAATGTCATCTTCTCAACATTCCAACTTTCGTGGCATCTGGCTATTTAACTGGCAGCCTTGAGATTTTCTTAAGGTTCCTACTACCATGATTTCTGAGCGCCCCATCATTTATTGTATGACCTATGACATAATCAGCAGAAATGTCCTGCTGTTGCCCTAGTAGCACCATGGCTCCAAACAAATCTGCTCATTTTTTGAACAGTGGCTCTGTAGAACTCATTTTATGGTTCAAATGAAAAGGAAAGGGGAGAGGTAAAAAGGCAAAATGTGTTAATGCAGTACACACAGGTTTCTGGAAACAAGGAGGCACCAAACCTGGCAGATAGAAAACCAGCCTTCCAGCCATGAGGCCAACTTGAAAAAGCCTACTATTTATTCACAGAGCACATTTCTGCAAGTCCACAGGACCTGGCAGGGAAACAATCAGTGAGGATGAATAATCCATTCCAGCTAGCAGTACCACCAGCTCAACCTTTCACCTGAGCAATTTGCTCTTCCTTCAGCCTCCACAGGCTGTTCCTGGACCTGCTTGCAAGCTTCAGGGACCCTTTGAGCAACTATTTGAAAAGTCAGAGAGGGCAGAGGGCATGTTTTTGTAAAAACTAAAAGGAAAAGAGCCTCTCCAGGTTCTGCAGAGGCGACAAAAAGGGGAACATTACTTTGTGGTACAGATAATTACATGTTCCCATCTGCTGGGGATACTGTCAGGCCCTATGCCACACATTTAAGTGGTTAGTTGTGGCTACTACTGACACTCAGATACGAGGAGCCACAGATACGAGGTAGCAAAGGCCCTGTAGGTTTGTTAGGGCCTGTGCACAAAGCCCCAGGAAGGATCTAGCAGGCCATTAGGTTCACTGGCTTTTTACCAGCAAGCAACTCTGAGCATCTGCTTAGGCCATGCTCCACCATGCTCTGAGACCATCACCTTCTGCTTGAAAGTACTTACAGACTTGCAGACCACGTTGCTGCTGTGACTGACCTGACCCCAGCTATTGTTGGGGGCCACCCCTTCCTATAACGCATGCCCTCACCGGGTGCCAGTTGCCTGTTCCTGTCTGTGGAGTGAGGTCTCTCCCAAGCCCCTTCCCTCAGTTGTGTCTAGTACCCCAGTGTCCCCTCTTGTTCCCTCACTCTCCCAAGCTGTACTCAGACTGCTTCTGTCTATGGACAAAGGCCCAACAGTCTCTTTCCTGCTGCTAATGATCCCCCCACAGAGCCTATCTAGCTGCTCCCTACAGATATGCTCTGTCCTTGAAGGTATGTCCATCCCACTGATCCAGGTCCTAACGTGTTCTAGTGGGCCAGCTGGAGCAGAGATCACAAGCACTTAGGGGAATGCAGCCACTTTTCTCTCCCAGTCTCTGGAAAATGTCTAATCCCCTCACCAGTGCCCTTCTGAGTACCATCATACAGGCTCTGCACCCCTCACTGAACTCACCTTTTCACCGTACGCAGCAGGGTGGAGCGAGCCTCATTGTGGAAGGTGATGATGAGGCTCGTAGCTGGCAAGTCTGTGTCGTAGCGTACAGAGGCACACCTACAACATGGGAGAGGAAAAGCATAAGCCAAATGTCTCCTTGCAGCAGCCGCTGGGGCAATATGCTTAGCATTTCTAAGGCAGGAGAAAATTATGTGCCAAAAACAAAAACAGCACAATGGAGTTGCAGCAAGGGAGGCCTCAGCAACTCCTGCACCAAGATCACTGGAGTTAAAAAGAACAATGAGATGAAAGATTAGTGTCTGTTGAAAGACAAAGTTTGGCAGCCCTGACACCTAAACTCATAATGCAGCTTGCTGAAGAGAACGTGTGGTTTTCTTGGAGGACAAAGATTCAACATCATGGATTCTAGTCCCTGGATTTGCCAGTGAGTCATGCAGACTCGTTTCTTCATGCATAGGACATGCACACACTAAGGATGCATGGAGCTTACAGATTCAGACATTGGTATATACAGGCTTTACGGGAGAGGAAAACACTGTCTAGTACTGTGTGTGGCCTGCATTAGAGAGCTGCTTACGCTCAGTGGCTTCTCTTTGCAACACTAACACCTCTGCTGGCAATGGAAACAACACCTTCTCACGTGACTTTGTAACCTTAGGTACGTCCATTCATGCGCACACTCAGAACCATGGACTAACTCTGGATCAGCCTGCACCAGGGCTTATTTTGGCCTTGTGGAGAACAAGAATTCTTGGAGGAGAACAATTCATAGACTTGCATCTTGGATCCTGCTCAGGCAAATACTAGGAATGGCAGATATGGCCTGATCTGCTCCTTCAGTCTCTGCCCTCTTCTTAACTTTCAGCTAGGGACAAATAGCAGTCAGTCTGCACTCATTCCCTGTCTGATCAAGAACCCATGTCTAGAATTGTGGCCTGGTGTTTTTAACTGCTCAAGGACACACTTAGACTGAATCAGTTCTGGGAGGGAATACAATTCATTTCTCATGACTTTATAACCACTACTTTACTTCCACATTTACTTACTATTTTTTATGACTATTACTAAACTGTTACTATTTTTTTATAACCACATTCAATCTTACTGCTCTATGACTATTCTAAGCTATTTTTTTTTTTTATAATGCACTATTTTATTAAGGGGAGAGCAGTTTCTTACAGCAATTTTCAAACATATAAAGAAACCTCAATAAAGGCCAAAGTGGAAAACTTGAGACAAGGCAGGAGACATCTCTCATTTATTATTGCTTCAGAATAACTCCATGACTTAGAAAAAATAAAACCTATTAAGGCAACAGGAAGTGGAAAAGCAGAAGAAATTGGTGTATGTGTTATTTGGGGAAGAGATGCCAAGATCTCAGTGTCACAGAGGACAAGAAAGAAGTTTGTGCTTGAAAGTTGGGCCTCTTTCGTTTGGATCAAGGAACATCTACATGCTGTGTCAAAAGCAGCCTGTAGGATGTGGACTTAAGTATGTCCAAGCTCTGCCTGGGGGCTGGAGGAAAGTGATTTGTTAGTGACCTATTGACCCCCTCCCCCCCATCCTTAAACTGAGGGTCAGATCAATTCAGAACACGAGGAAGGTCTTTCTCAAACCACATCTAAATGGTACCAGCTGGAAAAGCTCTCAGAGCCATCCTAGCATCCATTCCAAGATTGCTACAAGACAAGGTATTCAAACGCAGCTCCCCCATGCCCCAACTGCTGCTGCTGCAAAGGGGAGGAACATGGGAATAGGTTTATCTGCTCTGATTATCTGTTCAAGGTCTCCGCATTGCAAAGCTAGGGCCTGTAATGGCTGTACCTTTCCAGGAAATCACATACATGCTGTTCTGCAGAATAAGGTTGTGCACTGCAGTACAAGTACAGAGATGGGGCTTCTCACAAGAAGTGTGTTCTGTGTGCTACCACAGATCACAGATGAAAATAAATAATAATTCACCTTTGAAAGGGGCAGTTTTTAGGCCAGAACATGACAGCAGATTAACAGACTAACATGCAATGCTACATGACAGGGACAGTTGTCAGCAACATAGGACATGGCACTGCTGCCTCTGAGTCACTAGCGGGCCAATCCCAAGTGCTCTGCTGGGGGACAGGAGCACAAGACTTGAATCTCACAACCAAAGTCCCAACTGCTTGCATTCACAAAGTGCCCTAACGGCTGTCAGTGCTGGCAGGCTCACAGAGCTTCATTTCTCCTGACATCCCTTCACAGTTCCAATCAAGTCAGATGCCAGGTTTTCCGCTTCCAGCAGCTGTGATGTGTTGCTGTACAATGCTAGGTAGAGTCTATCTTCCAGCCCAGACAGATCACCATTTCAGACATGGTTTGTGTGCTTCTATTTTTTCTCCATTCAAGTAGGCTCTTCTACAGTATACTATCACCATGAAACATACAGTTTTCAAGGTACAGTGTTATCCTTCCAGATGCTATAGAAATTACAAGATAATTACATGAGCACTACTAGCAATTTAAGGATAAATTCAGTCAGCAGAATAAATTCACCCCCAGTGAAACAAGGACAGAGCAATGAGCACTTTGCAAGCCATGAAATATTCATTGCACGAATATTAAAGTCACGTTAGCTTCATTCTCACCTCAGCAGTACTCATCCAAACTGTTACACTCAGGACAGAAAGAATGCACCAAACAAGCTGCAGACAGCCCAGGCTGCTGGTGAGAAACACAGCAGCTAACGCAGAGCTGCAACAACTGTGCAACTTGCCCTCCAGGAGAGAGGACACCGAAAATCCATGAGTGAGAGAGGAGTTATGCAAAAAACAGCTGCCAGTCATGCAATCTGAGCTGCAATAGATGGGAAGTGCTGCAACTCAAAAGCTGAAATACTAAGCCAATGCTAGGACCTGGGAGAAGAGTTTCTAGAAAAGCAACAAGGTGGGGCTGAATAGTCAGGGGTCATTGCACATTTGAGACCCTTCCAAATTAACCGTGAAACAAAGTGCGGTAATGGATTGAGCTTGCCACATAAAAACCCAAACTGCCCTCTGTTAACATTGAGAACAACACAGGAGGCCACTGGACTCCCTAAGCCAAGCAGTGGCTGGGGCTTGGACCAAGCAAGGGCTGCGTGGTACCTGTAATGCCTGGTGTCCCGAATGGGCCGATCGCTGCTGAGTTTGTCGCTCTCTAGCTGGTTAAAAGCATGCTGGCGGTAGGGGTCTTCTCCGGCCTTCAGCAGCTTTGAAGACAAGTAAGCCTTCTCGTCAAAACCTTTCCAGCTGCTCTTCTCTCCTTGGGGAGCCCTTGTCATCTAGAGCAGAGCATCAGGGAGAGCATCAGCATCAGGGAGAGCAGAGAACTTATACTTAGACACTCGTAATAAACTCAGACACACGTACGCTAAGGCAGGCCGTTTGCCACAAGTCTGGAAGAGACTCAGGTATGGAAGAAGGCAGGACAGGCAAGGACTTGGATAGGAAAGCAGGAAACCCTCACAGAAGTAATGTTATAAATACCTTCCCCCAGGAAAATTACAGGCCTCACTCTTGTCACCAACTCAGCTTGTGATGAAAACTGTTTTGCTGATAGCACAGAGCCAAATTCTCTTTAGCACTTGTTATACAGAACACTCTTGACTGCAGGCATTTGGAAACCCTTCCAGGCAACATGGGTTTGAAAGCAGCCTCCAACCAGTCTGCTGAAATAACAGTGTTTTCAGGAAAACCAGTTTCAATCTTTTGTTAATTACTATCACATACAAACACAGGCACAGTTGATTTTACAGGTTCACAGGTGTGCCTTGCCCAGCTTTGGCCAGCCTCACATAAGAAGTCCATGATAGTGTTTTGAAAACTGCATGTGATTGTCCCCAGTCCCAGGCAAGAGTCTGAACAACTGGTTCATCCTCTCTCTTCTCCCTAAAGGCTTCTTGATCATCCTGCTTTTGTGTATCTTCCATATTTCTTTAGCTTGCTTTCAAAGGCCACAGAATCAGTGCAACACCAACACTAGAAATACATTGATTAGAGACTCTAGGAGGGAGGAAAAGCACATTCCTAGCCCCACTGAACTCTATTAGAATGGAGATTTTGGTTGGAAACAGCTTAAAATCAGTAAAATACTTGCTATAAAACAATTGGGATTATTTATGCAATAAAAGCAGTTCAATAACCAGAACAATCTATGGCAGCAGTTTGCTAGACTAAATCATGCAAGAGCCATAAAATGCTCTCAGCTTTGTATGAAGGAGTGCTGGAGCTCTCTAAAACTGCTGGAAAGATCAGATTCTGGCACAGTTATACCTCAGCTCAAAGGACAAGACCTTGAGATCTGTCCGTGTAAAATAGTTAGGATTCCCTCTAATATTAGGCTTGATCATGTTTCTCTCTCTGCTACAAGGCTCCTTTTAGGAGTTTTGGAAGACAAGAGACCATAGACTGGTCACTGCTATCAGTCAGAGGTTGCTTGAGCTGAATTGCTATCTCAATGGGGTGGGAAAGAACTCAGCCCCAGTTCCATGGCAAGTTCCTGAAGGAGGAGAACATTTAGAAGAACAAATGTCTCTGCATCTTTCCCTGAGAAGTGCTTCTCCTTCGTTCAGACAGCTCTACGAGTTAGACAGTTGGGTAAGGTGATGGGAAATGAAATTCGGTGTAGACAAGTGCAAGGTAATGAACATTAGAAGAAATAAATTGAACTGCTCATGCACAGTGATGGATTCTAAATTAACTATGACCACTCAGGTTAAGGATCTGAGTGTCACTGTGGACAGCTCAATGAAACTCTGTGCTCAGTCCACAGAGGTGCAAAACATAGCAAATAGAGTGCATTGAGAATAGGACAGGGAAAAACTGAAACTATTATAAATGCTATTATATGAAATCAGTGATAACTCAATAGTCATAGTCAGAGTGCAAGTTTTGTCAAACCAATCTCTGGAAGGATCCAGCACAAAGAGAAAGGGTACAGAAGTTATTGAGGGATAAAGAGAAAATTAAAGGACTATTTAATTTGGAGAAAAAATGAATGAAGAGAGAGAAAAAAAATGAACTAGCCCACCAAATTGTGCTACTATAGCCAAGATCAGCCTGATGTTCAAATTTCCCTTTCTTATAATACAAGAATAAGGGAAATGTCTTTTCATAGGAAAAGAAAACCCACACCATTTTCAACACAAAGAAAATTATTCAAATAAAGCATAATTAAACTGCTGCATATGGATTCACCCTAGTTTAAGATTCACACAGATGTATTTTACACAAATATTTTACGTTTTTCTTTCTCTCCAGACAGAGAGCCCTGCTATACTTCAGTGGAGGGGAATGGAGTCCTGCTCCCTTCCACTTGCAGTAACTGCTGCCACAGGACAGAATTTTCTCTTCAGTTAGTTGGATTAAGAAGACTACTCCATATCTGTACAAGTAGTTTCACATCCTGCTGCTTAAATTTTCCCGTGAGATTGTGTTTTCAGTAGTAGGAGGAACCCTTTTAGTACCTCTGAAAACTGAAATGTTTTTCCCCTTTTTTAATTTATACTAAAAATCTTATCGAACTTAAGCTTCCATTTCTCTTCTTTCTCCTACCCTAGAAAACACCACTAATTTGTACCGAAAGTGCAGCTAATTCTGTGACTTCAAATATTTTGCAGCTAGCCCTTTGCTAGCTATTTGGTCTGCCAAGTCCCAGGTAACGAACAGCTGCTTTGGGTTTATACTGCCATGAACGTTGTGCAGAGTGCTGGAGGCAGCAACAAACCTTTAAGAACCATTTTGTCAGGACCCGCATGGCCTGGGGGCTCCCCATCCCTCGCAGCCAGGGCCTGTCCCACTGCCCCAAGGGAGCAGGGGCAGCCAGGGCAGCCCCAGCCCTGGGCATCACCAATGGACAACCTTGGGCCAGGCTGAGATGCAGTCCGGGCAAGGGCAGGGTGGGGAGGCCCGGGAGTGGGCAGGGACAGGAAGGCTGGGAGCACCCTCAGAGCCTGGACATGTTTAAACTTAGACTACTACACCTAATTCATCTAGATAGTATGGCTTTCACATTATCCTTTTTAAAATTGATGTATAAGAGGACTGGGAAGTAATTTGCAGTTAAGAACATTTCTCATTTTTATCTCGATCAATATCTCTTCACGCTCTCTTTAAATGGGGGGAAAAAAGGCAGATTCAAGGAATTATAGTTCAGACAGCCTAACTTCAATTCCCAGAAAGACACTCTAACAAATAATTAAACAAACTATCTGTGAGCACCTAGATGATAACAAAGTAATAAATAAAAGCCAGCTAAGACTCGTCAAGATCAAACCAACCTAATTTTCTTCTAGGACAACCAGTCTTAGGGATGTGGAGAAGCAGTAAATATGAGGCATCATGACTTTGGTAAGGCTTTTGATTCAGTCTCACAAGATAGTCTCATTAACAAGCTAGAGAAAAAGTAGTCTCGATGAAACTGCTGTAGAACAGGTTGGAAACCTCAGGTTTCCAACCAGAAAACTGGTTGGAAAGCCATAGTCAGAGCAGAGTTACCAACTGCTCACTATCAGAAGAGAGAGGCTATGGTGAAAGCAGCTCTTTAAGGTTTTCTCTGGATCCAGCACTATCCAATATTTTCATAAATGGCTTGGATGTTGAGATAAAGAGTGCATTTATTAAATACACAGGAAATCCAGGAAGAACATCAGACACGTTGGAGAACAGAATTAGAATTCAAAATAACTGCAACACAAAAATTGTCTGAAAACAATACATGCAATTCAATAAAGGCACCACAAACTACTACAGTTCAGCAAGACTGCGCTAATCTAAAGCATGGAATAAATAGCAAGGTAGCAGCTCTGCAGAAAGGTCCTAGGTGTTACAGCTCACGGAACAACACAATAGCAAAGTCCAATACTGAGAGGACAGCAAATTTCATACTGAGTGGAGCCCAGACTGCTCCAGATAAGCTTGGCAAAGTGAATATGAAACAAATATTTAAGGGCAGACTTGCTGTATCAGACTCCTTCCTGGAATTTAGATGTTTGACTATAGGACATTGATCACTTAATTCAAAACATACTCGTCAGGAGCTGCACAGGTTCTCTATGAAACAGTAGCTAGTTCCCTGCCAAACCAGCTGCGGTCAGTGGGCTGACTTCCACCCCTCCTTCCCTTCCCTTCACATTAACACCTCTCACTTCAGGAAGAAATCAATACGAGCACATATGGGCTTTGGGTGTATATAAGGCACAGTACGTACAGCTGAGTGCAGAGTTAAGACTCACCAAATCACCAGGACATCTCATACCCTACAGTTCTCTATGCAGCTACACACCCTTACATCCCCACACTAGTGGTACTTACGAGAGCAGAAGTGTCCAGTTCCTTCTAACTGATGCTCTGTGATAGATCAAAGAAATTTATTACATAAAAGCTGAAGTAAAGATGAATAGGCACTGGAAATTTGAATGTCTAGACGAGGGATTAGCAAAGTGGTTTGCGTTAACTAAAGTTTGACCCAAACATTGCTGAGACCTCCAACAAAATTCACATACCAACATTTTGAGAAATACCGTAAACGTTTTTTCTAATCTCACTTCATCATTTCTCATTTTCACATAAACATCATTTTCACCCTTCCAGTGAGAAGACTGAGTAGTTGCTCTTCTGATGTTGGAAGCATATACTTATTTGCATTTTGACATGGTTCAAGAGATCATCAGCTACTTAAGTGGTTAAACTAATGTCATAAACAAGGAATTAAGGGAAAAGAATTAGTACCATGCACGTGTGTGGAAATTCCAGAGCCTCATTTCTTGACTACCATAGAGATACTCCTCTAGGCTTGATCACTAGTAAGATAACAAGGCTATAACATAGACTATAATATAGACAGTGCCATTCATCTCAGCACACTGTGAGTATCTGCCAGACACAGGCATGCCTGCTCCGACCTCAAGAAAACAGCCACTAAAATCAGAGCAGTTTGGGTTCCAAGATATTTTTTGTAGGAGCAGGCTGGTGAAATTCAAAAAGGATAACCAAATTTGAAGGGTTGTGAGATATCATTGCTTAGTATGAATAAGGTGTGCAAAATCAACAACTCTAAGTGCAATTAATCCTTTTACAGTTAACGGAAGGTTAGCCCAGCAGCAGTTTTACGTGATAGGATGTACACTTTGCAGATCTTGCGTATCTTTCTTTATTGTGGGTGTTTGTACAACTGAATAAATGGAGCATGGGGCTTCCATACTTCTCTTTTTTGTTTTAGGTTCATTTTACCAGCTCTGCTGAATCCCGGGACAGAAAAGCATGAATCACACACCTACCCCAA